ATGCAGCCTCAGCAGGCCCGTTGGCCGAGCCAGCGCCCGACCGCCCAGCCAGAGCAGGCCAGCGGTCCGGTCCAGACCGGTTCAGTTCGGTTCAGACCGGTTGGACCGGTTCAGTCCATATTTTCATGATTTAGTCCCGGTTCATATTCAAGTTTCATTTTTCAGTTAAAATTCCGGGTCCAGTTCAGTTTAGTAAATTTATATATGTTCAGTTCTGTATTTAACCGGTTCCAGTTATACCGATTAAATCCAAATATCATGTCAAGTCCAGTAGAGCATCTTAACATATTAAACAGATATTTTATCAGTCTGAGTATAGTACTTAGTAATTGTTTATATTATATTTCAGTTTGATCAGGCATCAGATATCAGCACTGCCTTTTTCATTTTCACGGATCAGGTGGGGACTCAGACTAAGTACTACATTGATTATAATTACGCTACCATGTTTGAGGTATGTATTATCAGTATCCGCTCGGAATGGTCGCCGGTCCATTCTGGGTTCTAGTGGCCTTAATCTGCCCACTAGAGTGTGCACATGGTGTCCGGCTTATGCTTGCAGATGTTCCGTTATCAGTCAGGTGATGTATATCACGAGATCAGTATCAGATTATTCAATACCGGTATTAGTTATCAGTTTCAGTTTCAGTTCAGTATCAGTTCAGTTATATATGCCAGGATCATGATATTGTTATTATTTTCACTGTTTACTTTAGTATGAGTTTCTGCGGAGCACAGTGTATTAGTGCTCACGCCCCCACATTATTCATGTTTTTCAGGTCGCAGGGTCGGAATCGAGGAGTGAGCTGGCGAGCGGTTCCGGACATTTGTAAATATGTGTATAAATCATGTTTTGGCTACGCCATGATTCCGCTACTGTTTCAGTTTACTAAAACAGCTTTTGATCTGACGTTAGTTGGTTATTATGTTATATAACCATTTTATTATTAAACTAGAATAACGGTTTTCAGATAAAGTCAGATTTCACGGTAACACTCCGAATCAGTATTTCACAAAATAAAAAATTTTATTTAGAAAACTTTGCGAAAATTGCACTCTGATTTTCATGAAATAGCGGGGTGTTACAATTGGTATCAAAGCACGTTTCTGCGTCTCTGAAAGTTTTTACAAGTCAGAAATTTTGCAAAAACCTGAACCGTCACGCTCACGCCTCACTGACTATAGGTAAGTGTTGATTTATGTTTTTAAGTTATAAACGAATTACTTGTCTATGATCAGAAATTTATTAATCATGACTTAGTTAAGATGCTCGAATCAGGTTCAGAACTTATAGATCAGTGTACTCAGATATAACTCTAGATTTCCTCAGGATCAATATTAGTATTTTCCAGCCATGTTTGGCAGCTCGTCAAGAGATCTGTGTACTTTAGTAATCAGTTAGAGTATTTTTCATGTGTTCAATAATGTTGAACTTTTTCAATGATCAGATGCCGCCCCATAGGGAACCCGATCGCCCGGTTCTTCCCCAGGCCACTATAGTCGCACAGTTTCATGACTATCATCCTGAGAAATTTTCCGGTCAGGGAGATCCCCGTATTGTGGACGAGTGGATTTAGGGCCTTGAGTTGATTTTTGAGGTCATGGACTGTCCAGATCGCTATCGCGTTATATGCCCACAGCTTCAGCTAATCGGCGATGCCCAACTCTGGTGGAATGCCTACTGGAGCATGCGTCCCGGCGAGAAAGAGGGCTGTACTTGGGAGAGGCTCAAGGAGCTAATCCGCGAGAAGTACTATCCCACATACTACCGAGCAGAGATGGAGCGTCAGTTCCTGTCGCTCAAGCAGGGTACTCATTCTGTTGATGAGTATGAGAGGGAGTTTACTAGACTTGCAGCTTTTGTCCCGGACTTGGTTCGTACGGAGGCACAGAGGGCACAACGCTTCATTGACGGGCTTTACCCAGCAGTCCGTCACAACATTGTAGGTCACGGGACCCAGACCTATGCTCGTGCTGTTTCGATTGCCCAGGAGGTGGACGCCAGCATCCGGAGGGAGGCAAGCCGCGATCGTTCTCAACCATCTACCCTTGTCCAGTCATCCACAGCTCCATCAGCCCCACCAGCTCCCCAACCGACGAAGGAGAAGAAGAGGAAGGTGAAGGGCGCCCAGACAGATAGGAGGACCCTCCAGAGGCAGCAGCAGGTTCCACCGTGCCCCACTTGCAGACGACTTCACCGCGGCGAGTGTCGCTTTGGCCAGGATATATGCTACTATTGTCACGAGCCCGGACACTTTGCTAACCGCTGTCCGAAGAAGGCACAGCAGCCTCAGCAGCCACAACAGCAGCAGCAGTCCCGTCAGCAGGCTCAGAGGCTGCCCCAGCAGCAGCAGACGAGGGGCAGACAGCAGGCCCGAGTCTATGCAGTCGATCAGGTAGAGGCAGAGCAGCGGCCAGGTACCATGTCAGGGATGCTTATGCTTAATGATGTTCCTGTTTTCGCTTTATTCGATACTGGAGCGACGCACTCTTTTATTTCACGACGATGTCTTGATGCCATCGGAGTTCATGCTATTACCGCTGTCGATCCTCTCGAGGTAAGTTTAGCCTCGGGACGAAAGATAGTGACCACAGCTAAAGCTTCAGATCTCAGCCTTTCCATCGGTGGCCGAATATTGTCTACCGACGCGTATATTCTCGAGATGAGGGACTTTGACCTCATTCTCGGTATTGATTGGCTATCCTATTATCATGCAGACATTAATGCCATGACCGGGAGATTACTCTTTATCTTTCGAAAGACGACCTTATTACCATCTTTGGCACCAAGAATCGTTCTTTACCTCATGTTGTTTCGATGGCGAAAGCCACCAAGATGCTGCGACGAGGCAACTGTCAGGGTTATCTCGTGAGCCTTGTCGATGATTCTCAGAAAGAACGATCACCTCACGACGTTCCCATTGTTCATGAGTTTGTGGACGTGTTCCCAGACGAACTTCCAGGAGGACCGCCTAACCGGCAGGTAGAGTTCTCTATCGATCTCATTCCAGGAGCCGGCCCAGTATCCAAAGCCTCGTACCGTATGGCGCCGAAGGAGTTGCAGGAGCTTAAGGCACAAATTCAGGAGCTATTACGACTCAGTTTCATCCAGCCGAGCGTGTCACCTTGGGGAGCACCCGTTCTCTTTGTCAAGAAGAAGGACGGTTCCATGCGCATGTGTATCGATTACCGGGATCTTAACCGGTTGACGATCAAGAACAAGTATCCGCTTCCCAGGATCGATGATTTATTTGATCAGCTGAGGGGAGCCTGTGTTTTCTCAAAGATTGATTTACGATCAGGCTACCACCAGTTGAAAATAAAGGAGCCAGATATTGCCAAGACCACTTTCCGTACTCGTTACGGCCATTATGAGTTTGTCGTCATGCCATTCGGCCTCAGTAATGCTCCAGCGGGTTTCATGGACCTGATGAACCGTATTTTCCATCCCTACCTCGATCATTTCGTTATTGTTTTCATTTACGATATTCTTATCTACTCAAAGAGCCAGAAGGAGCACGAGGAGCATCTGAGGGTTGTTCTCGAAACCCTCAGACGAGAAAAGTTATATGCAAAATTCTCCAAATGCGAATTCTGGCTCCAGCGAGTAGCTTTTCTGGGTCATGTCATTACTCAGGCAGGTATCGAGGTAGATCCTTCCAAGGTCTCAGCTGTTCAGAACTGGTCGACACCGAAGAGTCCGTCCGAGGTTCCCAGTTTTCTCGGTTTAGCTGGCTATTATCGCAGGTTCATCGAGGGCTTTTTTATGATTGCCCTCCCACTATCCCAGCTGACGAGGAAGTCTGTGAAGTTCGAGTGGACTGATCGTTGTGAGTCGAGCTTTCAGGAGCTCAAGAAGAGATTAACTTCAGCACCGGTGTTGACTATTCTTGATCCTTCTCGGAGTTTCACCATTTTCAGTGATGCTTCGAAACAGGGTCTGGGATGCGTACTCATGCAAGATGGCCAGGTTGTTGCTTATGCTTCACGCCAGCTCAAACCGCACGAACAAAACTATCCGACGCACGACTTGGAGTTAGCCGCAGTTGTTCATGCTCTCAAGATTTGGCGACATTATCTTTATAGCGGTCGATGCGAGATTTTCACAGATCATAAGATCCTGCAGTACATTTTCACTCAGAAGGAGCTCAACATGAGGCAGCGCCGTTGGTTAGAGCTCGTAAAGGACTACAATTGCTCGATTCAGTACCATCCGGGGAAGGCGAACGTCGTTGCGGACGCCCTAAGCCGCAAGGTGAGGGGTGACTTGACGTACGTCGTTACTCAGCAGAGCCATTTGATTCAGGAGTTCGCCCGGATGCAGATTCAGGTGGTTGATGCACTTCCTGCCGCTATTTCAGGGAGTGTCAGTGCCATGCAGATTCAGCCGACGCTGAGAGAGAGAATCCGGCGGGAGCAGGCTTCTGACGAGTTCGTTCGTGTCATAGATGTCAAAGTCCGCGCCGGAGGCGTCGAGGGTTTTCAGCGAGGTACCGATGGTGCCTTGGAGTTCAGAGGCAGGATTGTGGTGCCGAAAGTCGAAGCGTTGCGGAAGGAGATATTGACAGAGGCTCATACCGCACCCTATCTAGCCCATCCCGGAAGCACGAAGATGTATCATGACCTTCTGGTGGCGAGGGATGAAGAAGGACGTTGCCGATTTTGTCAGGAAATGTTTTACCTGTCAGCAAGTCAAAGCCGAACATAAGAGTCCGATAGGCCTTCTAAAACCACTGTCGATTCCGAGGTGGAAGTGGGAGGAAGTTACGATGGATTTTGTCACGGGATTACCGAGGTCGTCTGAACATCACGATGCTATTTGGGTCGTGGTCGACAGATTGACTAAGGTCGCTCATTTCTTACCAGTTTCGATGAAGATGTCTTTGGATAAGTTGGCTGAGATTTATACCCGTGGGATCGTTCGACTCCACGGAGTGCCTGTTACTATCGTATCAGACAGAGACCCCAGATTCACCAGTAGATTCTGGCAGAGTTTACACGAGGCGATGGGCACGAAGCTAGAGTTCAGTTCAGCCTACCATCCAGAGACTGATGGTCAGTCCGAGCGGACCATTCAGACGCTAGAGGATATGTTGTGAGCTTTGGTTGTTGACAGGGGTGCTAAGTGAGAGTCGTTGTTGCGTTACGTAGAGTTTGCGTACAACAACAGCTATCATTCTTCTATTCAGATGGCTCCTTACGAGGCACTTTACGGTCGTAAGTGTCGTTCCCCTCTTTATTGGGACTATGTCGGCGAGCGTCGAGTACTCGGTCCGAAGATGATCGAGGAAATCGCAGATCAAGTCGAGTTGATCCGGCAGAGGCTCAAGACAGCTCAAAGTCGACAGAAATCTTCAGCCGATCAACATCGACGAGATATTCAGTTCGAGGTTGGCGAGCCAGCTTTTCTCAGAGTTCGTCCATTACGCGGAGTTGTTCGATTCGCGAAGAGAGGGAAGCTGCACCCTCGATTCATTGGCCTGTTCGAAGTTCTCGAGCGAGTGGTCGAAGTCGCGTATCGATTAGCCTTACCTCCCGAGCTATCCAGTATTCATAATGTTTTTCACGCATCCATGTTGCGTAAGTACGTGTGCGACCCCGATCATGTCATTCCTCATACAGATATTCAGATTCAGTCAGACTTATCTTACGAGGAGCGGCCGGTAGCTGTACTGGACCGTCAGGTTCGTCGGCTCCGGAAGCGAGATGTCCCCCTCGTTCGCATTCAGTGGGATTGCCACGGAGCTACTTGGGAGTCGGAGGCTGACATTCGCGCTCGTTTTCCCGATTTTCAGTTCTAATGTATATATTTTTTATGTTTCATGTTTATAGTTCATATATATTCAGTTTCGTTTTGAATTTCCGAGGACGGAAATTTTTAAGGAGGAAGGATTGTAATATCCCGTCATGTTAGTAATATAAATCATGTGTTTAGTTCCGATATAATAATATTGTCGATTATTATTTTTCGGAATTAAATTATTTCAGTCGAGATTACCCAAAATTATTTTTGAAGTCACGTTTATGTTCAGAATAATTTTGGTAATTAAGTATTATGCTTAGTTAATTAATTAAGTATAATGTTGTGATTAATTAAAAATTAATCGTGCTTAGTATTATAAATGCCGTAGCATTTTTGAGGAAAATGTGCAAATTTCCCTTAAAATGCCGTGTCCATTTTTGCTAGTGGGAATTGAGGAGAATTTGGTTTAGCTTGAGTTGTCACACTTTGAATATGCTAAGTGATGACTAATCCCACTTATGGAATGACTAAGCCTCTTTAAGTCCATGGTGCTTGCAAATGGCATGAGTTAATTGGTGGGAAAATTCTTCCACCTCTTCACTTAATTAGCATTAGTATATATATTGAGTACATGGGAAAATTCAGCCTTCTTCATTGCATATTAGTAGGTATAGTAAGGATAGAGTGAATTCCTTAATTGAGAGAGAGCATCACTCGCGGAGAAGCCTAGCCGCAAGCCGCGCTCGAGAGTACCGCACGCACGGAATCACGCGCACGAACACCGCACCTAGCGGAGTTTCATCGAGCGTTCGAAGAGGTAAGTTAATGTTGCCTTTTCTTGATGTTAATAGAACCATGTTAGTTCAGCTATGTTCAAGTCATGCTCTCGAAATATTAGATTAGCCGTGTTGCTCTCGAATAATTCATGATCAAGTTATTGTTCGGAATTATTCTGAAACCCTCGAGTAATTTTCATGTATTCGGTTGTTACACGCTATTTCATGTTCAGTCAGGCTAGTTGGTCGAGGGATTTTCAAGATTTATTGTTAATTTGGCCGAAGGTTGTGGGCCGCGCACGTAGCGCGTGCCACGGGCCATTCCATGTCCTTCCAAGTTAAGTTGCATCATGTTCATAATCTTCCGAACAAATCATGTGTATTTGATCATGTTATGTCATTTTATGCTCAGTTGGTTGGTGTTTGTCGGAAGAAAATCATGTTTTGTCGAGAAGCGGCTTAACGCCGTAGGCGGCGCACGGTGCGCACGCCACGGCCACTTTAGCATGTTATGCAAAATTCATGATTTTGAGTATTTTCAGCAAATTTGGTCATGTCAAGTCAGTTCATGTTATTTTATGTTGAGTTGCTCGAGAGAAATCGCCGGACGGCCGGCAAGGGCCGGTCGTGGCCGCGCTGCCCGCACCCAGCGGCAGCAGCGCGCCGGCAGTCAGTGATACGGAAGTGGAGTTAGGGACCGGCAAGTCTAGTGAGGGGCTAAAAGGCAAAAGGTGTGCATCGGCACTTGATGCACACGAGTGGGAAAACAAGCCGCGCACGCAGATGGCAACGGGCGTACGCAAGAGCATAGTAGGCGAGCAGGACGCGGGGACGGCTGGGACGCACGGTGCAGCAGGTGCACGGGGATGCACGATAGAAGATTGGAGCACGGGCGGTAGCCAGGACGCGCGGGCATCACGCGGAGAATGGATGGGGCGCGAAGGGCGCGCAAGTGAGCGGCGCGCGAGTGTAGCGCAGACGCGGGAGTCCTAGGCGCGGCAGGATTAGGCGACTCACGAGAGCTGGGCGCGCACGCGCAAGGAAGGGTCGGCGGACTGGGCGCGCGAGCGAAGGACGTTGCGTGGGAGGAAAGCGCGCGGGTAACCGCGCACAACGAGGAGTAGGCGTAGCATGGCGGTGCGTGCAAGGGCGGCTTGGGTGCGCGCACGCGCGACGCGTATGGAAGGCGGCCGAGGGTTTTAATTTGGGAGCATTCTAGAATTGCTTGGTGTGCAAGCCAAGCATTAGTTATTTGGTAGTAATAGGATTTTATTGCTTTTTAGTGGTAGGATTTCTATTTTTGCAAGATTTAGGAAATCTAGTATAGTTAGGCTTAGATTTA